ATAGGACAGTGGGTTCCGTCCATCTCCAGTCACCATAGGACAGTGGGTTCCGTCCATCTCCAGTCACCATAGGGCAGCGGGTTCCGTCCATCTCCAGTCACCATAGGACAGTGGGTTCCGTCCATCTCCAGTCACCATACGGCAGCGGGTTCCGACCATCTCCAGTCACCAAAGGACAGAGGGTTCCGTCCATTTCCAGTCACTATAGGACAGTCTGCTCCGTCCATCTCCAGTCACCATAGGACAGTGGTTTCCGTCCATCTCCAGTCACCATAGGGCAGCGGGTTCCGACCATCTCCAGTCACCATAGGACAGAGGGTTCCGTCCATCTCCAGTCACTATAGGACAGTCTGCTCCGTCCATCTCCAGTCACCATAGGACAGTGGGTTCCTTCCATCTCCAGTCACCATAGGGCAGCGGGTTCCGACCATCTCCAGTCACCATAGGACAGTGGGTTCCGTCCATCTCCAGTTATCATAGGACAGTGGATTCCGTCCATCTCCAGTCACTATAGGACAGTCTGCTCCGTCCATCTCCAGTCACCATGGGACAGTGGGTTCCGTCCATCTTTAGTCACCATAGGACAGTGGGTTCCGTCCATCTCCAAGTACCATGGGACAGTGGGTTCCGTCCATCTTTAATCACCGTAAGACAGTGGGTTTCGTCCATTTCCAGTCACCATATGACAGTGGGTTCCGTCCATCTCCAGTCACCATAGGACAATGGGTTCCGTCCATCTCCAGTCACCATAGGACAGAGGGTTCCGTCCATCTCCAGTCACCATAGGACAGTGGTTTCCGTCCATCTCCAGTCACTGTAGGACAGTCTGCTCCGTCCATCTCCAGTCACAATAGGACAGTGGGTTCCTTCCATCTTCAGTTATCATAGAACAGTGGGTTCCGTCCATCTCCAATCACCATAGGACAGTGGATTCCGTCCATCTCCAGTCACCATAGGACAGTGGATTCCGTCCATCTCCAGTCACTGTAGGACAGTCTGCTCCGTCTATCTCCAGTCACCATAGGACAGTGGGTTCCGTCCATCTCCAATCACCATAGGACAGTGGGTTCCGTCCATCTTCAGTCACCATAGGACAGAGGGTTCCGTCCATCTCCAGTCACCATAGGACAGTGGTTTCCGTCCATCTCCAATCACCATAGGATAGTGGGTTCCGTCCATCTCCAGTCACCATAGGACAGTGGATTCCGTCCATCTCCAGTCACTGTAGGACAGTCTGCTCCGTCCATCTCCAGTCACCATAGGACAGTGGGTTCCGTCTATCTCCAGTCACCATAGGACAGTGGGTTCCGTCCATCTCCAGTTACCAAAGGACAGTGAGTTCCGTCCATCTCCAGTCACCATAGGACAGTGGGTTCCGTCCATCTCCAGTCACCATAGGACAGTGAGTTCCGTCCATCTCCAGTCACCATAGGATAGTGGGTTCCGTCCATCTCCAATCACCATAGGACAGTGGGTTCCGTCCATCTTCAGTCACCATAGAACAGTGGGTTCTGTCCATCTCCAATCACCATAGGACAATGGGTTCCTTTTATGTAGTTATTAGAAAGTCTAATAAACTCATGTCGTTTCAGAAGCACTATTATGGAGAAAACAAGAATAGACCCACTGTCTTCCCCTATGTCGTAAGAGTATACTAGGTGGCTGCTTCCTTCGAGGTCGAAGTACAACTGCTGGAGAGGAAATGAGCCAAAAATCTACATACAAATAAGTCCGATCTGTAAAACGGATGTGCACGAAAGACACTTAGGTTTTGGAACAATGATAAAGCCTAGGGGCAGACGAACTATCAAAACGTTGCCCGAGTCTAGCCGGTGAAATCGAAAAAGAAGAAGAAAGCCCAAAATAACAAGTTTTTTCCCCCCCTACCGTTGAACTAGGCGTCTGTTAATGGTTTCCGGGGTGTAGGCTCCGAAGCGTGGCTCACCGAGTTGCTGCTTATCAAATCTCTATACCTCTAGAAATAGGAGTAAAGATCGGCACCGCCAATCATGAGAAGCACACCGGACGCTGATGAATATGTTGAAGGGGGAACCTGAGCACCTATGAATGTGTCCGGAGTGCTGTGAAGATAATCCAACTCATAACTCACAAGGGTGACAGGCAAGATTCCTAGCCATGATTCTACCGTGGCTCTTACAGTGCACAGACGTGAATTTATTATTAAGTAAGGGAGCAAACCCATTCTTTTTAAAGACAACTTCATTCTATTGTTAGTTCATGTTCTTGATTACACATTATTTGTGGATTGGGGGCGCACACAAATGGGAAGCATTGTTCTGTTGTTCTTGTGTGTGTGTGTGTGTGTGTGTGTGTGTGTGTGTGTGCGCGCGCGCGCGCGCTTCTATTGTTACAATAACCATCTGGCATGTCTTCATTTGCAGACGTCACTCGCGTCAGGACAACGTATATAAATCGACCGGTTTCTCCTCTCTGGTCTACTATATGACGGTGTACCACCCTGAGATTAACACATACATAATATAACCCTTGACCCATTGGGATCTTTGAGGTGACATGATGGAAGAACCAGCACACACAAATCGCCAAATCGTCTTCCGCTTGATGAATAAGTGTATAATAACTTAGTCGTGTCTGTTGTACACTTAATTTGTACATTCTTTTGTATACTTTATATTCAACCAAGTATTTAGGCCTAGGGTGCCTATTCTAGTATTCCGCTGGATATCTCCTTGATGGATGTGCTACAGTGAAGTCCTGCATTCTATAACTGGCACACTTGGCACCGACACAGCATCATGTAATACAGTCGCTACCTTTACAAGCCAACAATAACGCTTGTGACAGGCCACATAAACTTTAATGGCATTAAAGTTACACGTCACAAGATGATGATGATTATTCAATAAAACATGTACGATAATAAATCTCCATTATCTATTCTGATGATATAAAAGATTACAGCAGCTTTTCTCAATGGGGCTCCTGCCATTAAATAAGTAAATAGACATTGAACTGTCTCCCGCAAACAACGGTAAATCAAAACCTCACAAAGAGAAAACGTTTCTATAATATCCTCATACAGAGAGCCAACACAGTTTCCGCTAACCCCGCGGAAACACGTCCGACTTGGACAATGGAAAAATCTCAACTGCCGAATCCTTTGTGTTCTGCAGGAGCCTTTGTGTTAATCGCCCAGCATTCAATTAGCTGGTATCCCAGGTAACAGACCCGACCGGTGGCCGCTGTGTGAACCTTTCACCTGCGCTATGACCACTAGAAGAAACTAGAAGAAACTTTAACTCTTGGACTATAAGATTACAACAGTGTCCATTTCTTGATGTTGTGATTCCATATTCTTCTTTGTCCTCCTCTTCTTCGACATTCCCCCCCCCCTTTCCATGTTCCTTGAAGTGCAGTCTTTACAATCGAATCATGATTTACCACGTTCCCGAACCAAGCAAGCTTGTGGAAAGGGGGGGGGGGGGACTTTAGTCTGGATGGCAGGCCAACAAGGTAGATCCCAGATACTCCGTTCAATCTCCCAAAAGGTTATCACCAGGGCACCCGTCATGGTTACAGCAGCCAGGTGTAACCTGCTGTCCTGTGTGGGTAAGGACACGAAAGACTATGGAAAGATTCGGATCTTTTGCCCGTTCTCATGTATGATGCATTTTAAGGAAACCGGACACTGAAGGTTAAACTACCAAATGAATAAAACAAACACTGCACAGTCGCCACAATGTGCCTGTCAGACGGGACCACAAACACCTAAACACATTCTGCAGGCCTGCCCACCATACTTGTTTATGACTACGGAACGACACATAGCCTCGTGAGTAAAGTGTGCAGAACAAGCTGTTGGGAACCACGAAGGACCTGCAACTGACATGTCGAGTTCATAGAGGCAACCCACCTGACGATCTTACCTGAGCATATGAAACCGAACTTAAAGAAAAAGAAACTCCAGCAGAATGTTCTGGCTTATGCTCAGTCTCTGGACTTTGCTTTGGTCTTGTCCCAGAACGAGTTCTGCGTGCACATCCGTTTTGCAGATCTGTTTTATTTGTATACAGACTGTTGGTTTCTCACATCTCAGGCAGATGCACGCTGGCTTACTTAGAACGAATGAACCAAGATTAGTAACCTCTTTCGACCTGTTTTTTAGGGGAGCAGTGAGTCTAGTTCCTCCCACTCCCTACCACCCCAGGGGATTCTAGAACTCACATGAGGATAGACTGAAGTTAAAAAGGCAGAATGAACATTGAGTGTCTTCAGACTAGAATCGTAAATAACTTCCTCAATCTCTATCTTTGTGCTAGGTCATGGGGTGTTTGAGGCAACGAGCGTTAAGACTATCTGGCGAACAATGTGGTTACCATAACTGATTGGAAAGGAATTACGTCATTAATGTCATGCAGATGCTTATAGCAAAGATGATTACGACAATAGGCATGAATCAGTACCCCTGTCCAAACTGTTAGCTGTGAGAGTGCAACCTGGGGAAAACCAAACATGATCATGTTACTGAGGACAGCGGACGTCTGATCAATCAACAAAGAATGGCCGTGATCACTCGTTTATGGTGCTATTAAGGATGAAGAGATCGGAGGAATTACCGTCTGTCCGGAGTGCTATATCGCAACAGTCCTCGCTTATCAATTAGTAATGGGGTGCGCTGCATGTGATAGCAAAGGGTAGTACGACTTCACTTGAGGGCATATGTTCCGTTGTGGTAACGAGAGGAAGAAGAAGAAGAAGAAGAAGAAGAAGAAGAAGAAGAAGAAGAAGAAGAAGAAGAAGAAGAAGAAGAAGAAGCAGAAAAAGAAGAAGAAGAAGGGACTGTCTCTTCTGCGTTTATAAATATCAAAATGTTTAAATCCTCGAATGTCTAATCCGTGTAAACAAAAGATTACCTCCCTTACACTAACACTTCCTGTAATGGCGGCGTTAGGCGAGTTGTATTGTTCATAAACACCAAAACTGTGTTTATTTGCACATTTATTATGTTATAAACCAACATGAATAAAACCTGGCTGGAACTAGAAAGCGACCCAGGTAATACTCTCCTGTTTAGATTTTCGGTCATGCTGTCGTCAGCCATGTTCCCAGAATTGTTTACAAATCATCATCATTATCATCATCTCCAGGACAGACAATAATTAAATTGTCAATTGTCACAATTTAGACAAGACAATCCATCTGTCTGTCTCACTGGTCTCATCTACGGTGAAACAAAACGATGGCTTTAACAATTATTACCGACAGGTTACATGTTACACCAGACTGGTCTGTCGGGAGATAGGATAGGGGGGGGGGGGTAGGGAGGTGTTCCAGTTTTAATTCTTTGCTAGGTTGGACCGGAGATTAGCCCTGTTAGTTTAGTCTGCTCCCATCAGGACAAATCCGATATCAAAGCATCATAGCCAATTTTTCTTATAAGAGTCAAAAGTCTCAGGGCCTATCAAACCTTCAAGTAGTAATCCTGAGCGAGAAAATAAGACATTGAGGTAGTGATACGATAATCAGAGACTATTGCTGTGCAGGAGGAAAACAGATAGTGAGATATAATATATAGACTCTTGATGTTGAGAAGGAAAACAGTAAACTACAGGAAATGATAGAGCCAGAGACCATCTTACTTTTCTTGATGTGTAGAGGGAAAAGATATAGTAAGATACTATAGCTAACGATTTGTGGCTATCCTGCGAATAACGGGCACATATTATGGCGGCCAAAAACAGGACCTCAGTCACATGTAAATTGCGGACTTCGGCGACTTAAATTGCGCACTTTCAGGGAAAACCACCACTGCAGTGAGTATCTCTCATGCCGCTACGCGCTGCGTGGATTGGGGCTAAACTAGATGGCTGGGACTCACGAGCAAAGCCGCAGAAGATGCAGAAGCAGCTACTCGTGAGTTCCAGCCATCTAGTTTAGCCCCAATTCAAACCGCATGCAGCGGAGTAGGAGATACTCTCTGCGGTGGTGGTTTTCGCCGGAAGTGCGCAATTTAAGTCACAGGAAGTCTGCAATTAGCATGTGACTGAGGCCCTGTTAGGGGTTTTTTTTTTGCGGCCGCTATAATATGTGCCCAGTATTTGGAGGATAGCCCTATTTTTTAAATGTGAATTCATGATTATGATCCTGTATGTTCTCCTATACTGTAATTTAAACATTTCTGAAAAATGGCGGGGGGGGGGGGGGCGCCTTATGACCTCGTTGTTGTAATTCCTATAAAACAAATCCTTACGATAAAAATTGTACACAGGTCAGTAATAAATTCATTAACAATTTATTCATCCAGACTTTTTAATTTGGCTCAAACGACAAAACCCCCCCCCCCCCCCCCCCCACAATGTTTTCCTTTTTTCCCCACCCCTTCCCCATGCCATTTTAATTTAATGCATTAATGTCCCAACCTAAATGCTTGTGCAGGTTTTGAAAGCAACTAATAGCATTAACTATGAGTCTTGTAAACAAGTCACTAAAGACAAGTCCGATTAGTGATAACAGGAAGTATCAGGTTTGTGCTTTCTTGGAACAAAGAGGCAATAGTTTTGAAAGCCAGTTCCGTATAGCTGCTGTAATAGTTATGTTTTATCGGACTTTGAGATCAAACATACATGGCCAAGTAGTCTACAGGCGCAAAGCTTAGAGTAGACGAAATCTGATAGTAATAGTTTAGTTTACTTTCAACTGGAGTTGATGGGTTCATGTACATCCCATTTGCCACCTGTTGAATTTATAGGTCAGTTTTGGACTACGTTCTTGGGTTTGCAAGTGTAAGTCTTTCAAAAATGAAGTTAGGGAGATATAATAGCAGATGATCGCAACAGAAGCAGGTGGAAAAGGCTACTGTTATTTCGTAGGTTAGCTTTATTGACTTGAAATTTTCTGGGTTTTTTTTTTCTGGTCACTTAAGGCAACTTCATAGGGCAGGGCTACTCAGATAAGTTTACTCGCCGGTCAAAATGTTTAAAATAGGGATCGTCGTGGGCCAGTGGCCTGAAACCAAGTGTGGACACACAATACAGTTGACAACATTTTCAGTGTTTAACTTTAATAAACTATACAGTTTCTACGCCTAGGGACTAATGTACTGTAATATAAATGAAACTGTTGTAAACTATTATAATTTTAAAAGTACTGCAATCTTTTATAATGATTAATTAAAACTCATTTTAAATTTAAAAGTCAACGCCTGTGTCTTAGGCGTTGCAAACGCGCTTCGTAACGGCGGGGTGACGAATTCCATCCTAGCTGCAAAAAGTTTTGTATTGTGTTGGGTTCGACAGTGGTACCGAGAGCTGACCATTCAGGGAGCAATGGCAAACTACTGAATGTTAAATTTGCCTAAAAAAACCATAACAGGTCCCCCCCCCCCCCCCCCCCCCACCACCACCACCAAATGTTGGTTCTGCAACATCCTGTAAAGGATGCGCAACTAACTTTTAAAATTTAAATCCATTTATTTCCAACTTGCTGTTGGAATTATAAATAAATGTTAGCATTGTCACTTCAATTGTATTATTGAATTATTAATAGTAACTTTCCACAGTAGGTTTCATATGATTTGTGCAAAAGAAACTGACATTTATTATGATGCAAAATATAATAAATGGGAAAAGTTGCATATACATTTTTAAGTTAATTTATAAAATTTGGCTCGTGTGAAATCAGAGCAGTTCTGCAGCCTAAAATTTCTCAGTGAGCTCGACTGTTTGCCTTGTGTTAGCATCAAAGATTCATCATTATTCTCTAGCTGTCTGATCTGTCCACGCTTCTTCCCGCATGTCCATTGCTTGCAAGTTGGTCCAGTTGCTGATTACCTTTTTGTGCAGGCATGGCCAGGTGTGTAGATCCATGTGAGCAAAGTTAAATGTGATTTTTTGAATGCTTTCTACTCATTCAGAGTCTACACTACCCAATGTAATTTTCTGAAATATGTTAGCGGAGACTGATAATTCACACTGTTTTTTTCCCCCCAGGTCTTTTTACCCTTCTGTTGGAAGATTTTGGTGAGTATCTTCTGTTTAAGAATTTAAGATGGTATTTAAATGCAAACGCTATTGTATTACAGAACTATAATATCTTGTACAACAGCATTTTCTTTGCCACCTTAATTACCACAGGGGTATGCACCTTAATTACCACAGGGGTATGCGGTTACAATATTTTGCCAAAATTATGTTACCAGGGCTAAATGTTGACATTAACAACAAAAAGGAAAAAAGAAAAATTGAAACAACAGAAATTACATATATGCAACAGATTTTATATGTAACTAGAAGAGACAAGATCAGAAATGACATATCTATGACTAATCTTACATGTAACTAGAAGATGCAAGAAGACAAATGCCATATCTACGATGGATCTTACATGTAACTAGAAGAGACAAGATGACAAATGCCATATCTACGATGGATCTTACATGTAAATAGAAGAGACAAGATCACAAATGCCATATCTACGATGGATCTTACATGTAAATAGAAGAGACAAGATCACAAATGCCATATCTACGATGGATCTTACATGTAACTAAAAGAGACAAGATGACAAATGACATATCTATGATTAATCTTACATGTAACTAGAAGAGACAAGATGACAAATGGCATATCTGTGATTAATCTTACATGTAACTAGAAGAGACAAGATTACAAATGGCATATCTGTGATTAATCTTACATGTAACTAGAAGAAACAAGATGACAAATGGCATATCTGTGATTAATCTTACATGTAACTAGAAGAAACAAGATGACAAATGACATATCTATGATTAATCTTGCATGTAACTAGAAGAGACCAGAGCAGAAATGACAATTTCTGGAAACAGGATGGGGTGGAATTAATACTAAACTGCATTAGGAGACAACAGATTCATTAGTTTGGACAGGTCCCAAGACTGCCACAAGATGTATACCGCAGAGAGCCCTGTCACTTAGACACAATGGAAGCTGAGCTAGAGGTCGTCCATGAAGCTATGGAAAGATGGAATTCTAAGGCCATAAATGCCATCATCAACGTAGCACATGCCAGGGCTTACACCCAATGCGTCTTCAAAACATAATGCTGAAATGCAGAAAAGGACTAGAGAAGAGGAAGAAGAAGAAGGAAAAAAGTATGAGGTTATAATGGGAATTGTGGTAATGTAGTGACTAGATGGTTGCTGGCTGACCTGAAAGGTCTTAGATTGAAATCCACAGTATGATAGATTTTCATTATAAATGACTTTAGTTGCCAGGTCCTCGCAGCATAAATGGAAATGAAGAAATACCTGCTGGGAAGTAAAGGCAGCAGGCATGATTTTGACATCACCTGTAGAGTGCCAATTAAAAGAATGTGTCGGTTACCATATTCCCAGTAAGCATGTGGTATGAGAAGGTTTGTTGTTGTTGAGGTTTTAGTTGTATTGGACTGTTAGCTGTGTGTACATTAGTTGTGGAAACAGAACATTGGCAATTGGACTGTTAGCTGCGTGTACATTAGTTGTGGAAACAGAACATTGGCAATTGGACTGTTAGCTGTGTGTACATTAGTTGTGGAAATAGAACATTGGCAATTGGACTGTTAGCTGTGTGTACATTAGTTGTGGAAACAGAACATTGGCAAAGGGCAAATAATATGCATGACATTGTCATGTAGCTATTGTCTGTACCTTAGATCAAGTTTGGAATGGTACCGTGATCTCCGCTATGTTTGGAATGGTACCATAATCCTAACTACTTTTTGGATAGCACCATTGTCTACACTTGTGTTGACTCCACCATAATGGCCTTTATGTTAGGGTTGACCCCCATATTCTCCATTATGTTTATGCTAGATTGCCCTATATTATCTTTTCCCCCTGTCCCCTCTGGCTTTTTTCCATGCCAGTTTTCTTTGATAAAGAATGCCAAATGAAATATTTGCAGGTGTGAATGGAGTCCAAGTTGAAGAGATCTATGATTTACAGAAGCCTATTGAAGGGTGAGAAATGCTGATAATAGCTATTTATATCAGTTTACTCTAAGCCAGTAGCGCATGCCTCCCCCCCCCCCCCCCCCCCCATTGATCTACTTTTTTCCACTTCTTCTTGGCATTCACTGGCTGTAAACTTCAGTAGAAAGTGTTGGTTGTTCATCCACTTTTGGACTATAATCTTTTCCAGAGCTTGAGTTTTGCATGCACATTCGTTTACAGATCTGGATTATAATGTATGCAGTCCTTTGGTTTCTCACCTCTTAGGCACATCCACTTCAACTTTGAACATCTGTCTGAGAGTTGAGGAACTAGAAGTCTGCATACCAGTAAGGTAGATCTGTAAAACTTATGTGCACGCAAAACTTGAATTTTGCGACACAAAGTCTAGAAAAGGATGAACAGCCAGAACTTTCCACCAGAGTTTGCAGAGCTGGTGAACAGGAAGAAGAAGAGTATGTTGGAAAAGAAAGATCTCTGCAAATTTCAATAAATAATTACTAAATTTCCATAAGAATAAGGCAGTCCCATGCATAAGGCACACCTTGCTTTGGGATCTGAAATTTTGAAAAACAAAATAATATAATTACATAAAGGTGCACACTGTTTTTAGACTCTATATTTTTAGAAAATAAATGCATCTTATATTTGGCTAAATACGGAAAATAAAACATGTGTTACCTCCACAGTGGAGGTATCTGCAGTGGGAATGTTCATCCACTGCCATTTCTGGGAATATTAAGTCGTGAGGCCTCTGTCTCTTCCACGGTATGACTCTTACACAACTGTCTGAAAGCCATGAGAAAAGATGTTTACCTAAATTGCTCAGGGCATCTCCATGTTGAATTGGTCAAGCTGCTTCCCCATGCTCTAAAGGTTGCAGGTTTGTTTCACGGCTGCGTCTTTCAATTCACAAGTGCAATTTTCACATGAGATCCCTGGAGATCGTCGCCCAGGCTACAAAGTTTATGCTTTGTGTGGCGCTCTGAGCAGGCAGCTAGCCATTCTGTAGAGAGATCGTAGTCATATGGAATAAAACCTGATGAACAGGCAAGCATGCTGGCGCCTGCAGGAAGTGACTGAACTGTGAGGGACTCAGCTTAAAGTATGTTCGCGTTCTCTACTGGATCATGCTGATATTGTTAATGCCCTCAAAGAAATGGAAAGGATAGAGGACTTTGGGGGCAGTGGATCCACATCACTCTCCAGAATGGCAGACTTGGGAATTAAGATCGGCATAGCAAAAAACGAGACGAGACACACACCAGACACACCAGAAGACTTATTAATCAACATAGAACTAGTACTATTAGCCATTGGATGTTGTGGTTCATACTGAGGGGAGGATCTGAGCACCTATGGACATGTCCGGAGTGCAATGATGATAACCCTACTAGCTAACTAACCAACCTGATGCAGTGAAGTCAATCCTTTCTTGACTTTAACTTTTTTTTTTTAAACTACACGATGTAGACCCTATTATATCGAGGACTGTGAATTGTGTTCACTGATCTTGATGCAGCATCATCATGTACCAGATCTTTTGTAAAATTTTGCTCTCATTAGTTTGCCTGAAAGAAACTTGGTCTTTCACCAGCTTTCCAACCTAGAACAATTTCCTATCCAAGCTATCACTTTTATCATGTGTCCATCTTTTTGCTGGTCGTCCCTGTCCCTCTTTCCATGGCACCATGCCATCTGATTTTATTATTTTTTAACAAGCCCTAAATAATAAATAATTTTATTTTCAGATATTGGTATGTGAGAATGTTATTGATAATTATATTTTTAAAGGTTTAAAATGTTTAAAAAAAATATGTTTTCTTGTTATTTGACAGACCGGTTTTTGGGTTCATCTTTTTGTTCCGATGGTTTTATTATTTTTTAACAAGCCCTAAATAATAAATAATTTTATTTTCAGATATTGGTATGTGAGAATGTTATTGATAATTATATTTTTAAAGGTTTAAAATGTTTTTAAAAAATATGTTTTCTTGTTATTTGACAGACCGGTTTTTGGGTTCATCTTTTTGTTCCGATGGATTGAAGAAAGACGCAGCCGACGCAAAACTACAGAGATTGAGAATTTTGTAACTGATGCTGAGGCAGTGAATAACATATTTTTTGCTCAGCAGGTAGTAATAACTTGAAAACATTCCTAGGAATAGTATGTGTTTGTTCCTGCAGTCAGCCATTCATCTATCCATTTGTTAGTCTGTCTATATTTTTGCCGCCTACCCACCTACCAAATTGTCTGTCTACTTATCTTTCTGCCCTGTTCACTAATCCATTTATTTATCATGTTAAGTGTGTGTGTGTGTGTCTGACAGTGTGTATAGTTTTCCCTATTCGTTCATCTAACTTTGTACCTGTTTTTTCATCCATCTATCCATTTTCTTCTTCTGTATGTCTACCTACCTGTTGGTATCCTATTAGTATATTTTTATAATGTTTGTACTGCTCTCTCTCTCTCTCTCTCTCTCTCTCTCTCTCTCTCTCTCTCTCTCTCTCTCTCTCTCTTCCCCCCCCCCAACCCCTCCCCCTTCTTTCTTTCTGATAGCTGTACCCACCTGCTTTTTTACTTAGGATTCCATAACCCCAAGTGTGGCATAAAAGTCGACTAATTAGATGAGTTTATTTCGAAATGGAAGTCCATCTGTCTGAGAGGTGGGAACCAACAGTCTACAAAGAAATAAGCTGTATCTTTAACTCTTTCAGGACCACATTTTTTTCTGTGGTTTGGAGGGCGTTAATTTTGACCAAATTTTTTTACTGCAACACAACAAAGCTAAAACCTTCCTGAAGAAAAAGTATTGGCTGTATCGGGACATATAATATATAAAATTAAAGATATGAGTGCAGAATAAATCTTAACTATTTAAATGTCAGTATAACAACAAAATATTATTAAAATCACACAACATTCAAGGACGTTAGACACATATGAAAATTATTGACATAAAAAATTTTGTGCTTACCTAATTTTTTTTTTTTTTTTTTTCAGCAACACTGCTATCCAATTCTAAGAATGCACATGCCTTCTTTGTGTATTAGCTAATCTTTATTTGAAAACATTAATTTAAATACTTTGGATGTTATGATCATTTTTGTAAATGACATGTCAAATTTCACAGCAACTGAAAATCAGGAAAACAGCTGATCAAAACATTGATCTGATTGAAATATTTTGTGAAATTTTCATATCCTAAACTAAACTATCGCCAGTAGATTTGTCACTTAGATATCAGTCATAAAATCAAGACTGTGGTCACCATCTGGCAGAGATTTATCAACAAAAGAGCATTATAAACAGTTCTAGACCTTTTCCCTTATCATTTAGTATAGAAAAATCACTTAAAAATTTTATCCCATCTAAATAATTTTTTTTTAATCAGAAAATTTTGCACCAACCACGATGAACGTTGCAAATGAAAAGACTTCCTGTTGTTAATCCTAATTGTTCAAAAACTTGTTCATAAAAGTTTGTTTTCCCTACAAACAGAACAAAATTAGAGTGTCTTTATCATGATCCAGTATACTGGCGATATGTCATTAAGGGATAAACTTAATCGCCAGTATACTGGCGATACATCTTTAAAGAGTTAAAAGGTATTTGCTCACAGAACTCAAGTTCCGGAACATAACATGAACAGATATAAAACCAAATAAAAAATAGACCACTGAGCTTCACAGTGAAATGAAACAAATGAAAAGTGTACGTTGCAGCTAGGCATGAAAATACATGTGGCAGTAGACCATATTAAGTTATATTTATTTTTGTTATATTTTATTGTTTCTCATCAGATGCATCACTGCAGAGTTATATCAATATATCATGAAGCGCACACACACAAAAATGAATCCCTTCTACTGAAATACACAAATTGCACATTTTGCTGTGTTTCGTCAGGTGCATTACTGCAGAGTTACACCAACATGTAATGAAGCTCAAATCATGAATCTTTTCCACTGAAATAACATATTGTCTCTTGTTACACTGTACCAGCTGACCTACTTGCTAATCACATGGGTAATCATGTATGCCTGTTGGTGAGATATTGTACAGTGAGACAACAGACAGTGTATTATTTCAGTGGAAAAGATTCATGTTTTGAGCTTCTTTACATGTTGGTGTAACTCTGCAGTATTGCACCTGATGAAACACAGCCCAATGTGCCAGGCATTATTTTAATCCTTGAGAGGAAAACATTGTTTTCAATTTATTTCGGTGCCATTCATCTTCTTCTTCTTTTTCTGCCCTTTGTTCCCTAGTGGAGCATAGGCACCACCACCACACTGGGCTTCAAGCTGGTTATCAGTGAGACGACAAAGGTAGAAGAAGGAGCATAAGCCCACAACCAACTCACACCAAGATGCCCTATCATTTGCTACTGCATGCTGCTCACCCTATGTTCTTTCCATTTTTTTAACTTCATTCTAGTTCTCTTCTCCATGTGTTTTTGGTCTGCCTTTATTCCTTTGGCCATGTAAGGTTACACTGCAAAGACACTGGTGTAGTTATATTATTATCAGGTTTTCTTAATATGTGTCTTATTGGACATCAGCATCCTTTGCTAGCCGCTTGGTTCACTTGAATTTGTTTAGTTATTTCGCAGAGCTGTACATTAGTGGTCTATAATACCATTTTATTCTGCTCAGGCACCATTTAATGCATGTTTGTAATTGTGCCACTATTTTGACACAGATCATTCCCAACTCGTGTGCCACACATGCTCTGCTGAGTGTTCTCCTAAACTGTGACAACAAATTGAAGTTGGGGAGAACTCTGAATCTCATCAAAGAATTCACAGACTCCATGTCACCTGAGGTACAGTGGAATATGTCATGTAACTTAAGTTATATACTGTATTTCCCCAAGCATAAGATGATCCCATGTATAAGACACACCTTGATTTTGGAACCAGAAATTTGGACAAATTTGTGATTGCATAAAGCTCTACTACCATTATAGAAGATGTATGCTGTTTTGAGACCCTATATTTTTGGAAAATAAATGCGTCCTATACTTGGGGAAATAAGATAATTTTTCTGTGAGAATGAATAACTTTTGATTTTTATTATTATTTGTTCTTACATTTTCCACATCAAACTTTGAATACCCATTGCTGTATGAAATTATGGGGCAAGCACCATTCACTCCTTAAAGCAATGGCATATCAGCCACATATACTCATAGACCTGGCAGTGTCCTAGGAAGTTAACGTGCTCAGGATCATATTGACTGCATCCCTTGTCAAGTGCACATTGATCTACAAAACTAGGGGCTTATCACTGTATGTATCAGGGGCATAGAAAGGGTCAGTTTGCTCAACCCTTCTGTATAGACTTGATATCAGACAAACCCCTAGTCATTCATGGCAGTGCTGTGTCCCATTCATGGCAGTGCTGTGTCCCATTCATGGCGGTGCTGTGTCCCATTCATGGCAGTGCTGTGTCCCATTCATGGCGGTGCTGTGTCCAATTCATGGCGGTGCTGTGTCCCATTCATGGCGGTGCTGTGTCACATTCATGGCAGTGCTGTGTCCCATTCATTGCAGTACTGTATCCCATTTATGGCGGTGCTGTGTCCCATTCATGGCAGTGATGTGTCCCATTCATGGCAGTGCTGTGTCCCATTCATGGCAGTGCTGTGTCCCATTCATGGCAGTGCTGTGTCCCATTCATGGCAGTGCTGTGTCCCATTCATGGCAGCACTATATCCCATTCATGGCAACACAATATCCGATTCATTGCAGCACTATGTCCCATTCATTGCAGCACAATATCCCATTCCTGGCACGACAATATCCCATTCATGGTAGCACCATATCCCATTCATGGCAGCACCATGTACCATTCATAGCAGCACTATATCCGATTCATGGCAGCACTATATCCGATTCATGGCAGCACTAAATCCCATTCATGGCAGCACTAAATCCCATTCATGGCAGCACCATATCCCATTTATGGCAGCACTATATGCCATTCATGGTAGCACAATATCCCATTCATGGCAGCACCATGTGCCATTCATGGCAGCAACATGTGCCATTCATGGCAGCACTATATCCCATTCATGGCAGCACCATGTACCATTCATGAATGAGTGCACAAAGTTCCATTCCTAACATCATACAACAGAATCACCAGACCAATAACGCAGTACCCTGTTCCATCTCTAACAACAGCAGTGTCATCCTGCAAACAGTTTAAATTACCCTTTCTTGTGGAATCTGTGCTGCACTATTGTGTATTTTGTCACAGTTATTGTTTTTGTTTTTTTCCATTTAAGTTGCTGCATTCTTTTCAAACATTTTTATTGCAGTATCAAAAACATTTACCTTTGGGTTTTTTTCTTTCACCAGGACAAGGGATATGCAATTGCCAACATGCCAGAGCTTGCACGAGTACACAATAGCTTTGCCAGGTATCTGTTTCATTGGATCGTACTTCTCTCATTTCTAAACAGTATTTGCTGTCATTCTGTTTTCTTAAGCACTGGAGTTTCAGAGTAGACGCAGAAAGATCAGTCTGCTAATTTGTTGTCCTATCCTAGGTGTCTGGTGTTTTGTTGTTGTTGTTAAATTCCTTATAGTAGCAGGAAATAAATTAGTGACAATAGGGTGAATCTCATCTTATTATCTGTCACACTAGGAGCCACAAAAACTGTCACTTCTGGTTGTGTCCATTTCCCCATGAATGTCATTTGTCTGACTTGTCCATAGTGACTTGTTAATGTGGACGCATAATTGATGCAATAGGATAAGTTTGCTTTTGCGCTGGATTAAGGAGGTCAGGATATAAATATGGAAAAAGCATTCAGAGGGGTTTCCTTGTGAACTAAATGGGTTTTTTAAAGTCAAATTTCCTATAGCTTCAGTTATAAATGTCACGGATTCACTGCATGAGTCACCCGATACATGTTTTTTAGGCTCCAAGGAATATATTCCATTTAATGTTTCATTGTATTGATTGATTACTCCTTTTATATGTTTCACCCCAAACAAAAATAACAGTGTGGATAAGTAAATGTTTTCTCCTTCTTCTTCTTCTTCTTTACGTCCTCTTTTTTTGCTTTGGGTGTCGAGGGAGATACAAGATCCTGCTTCATGCTCTTCTGGCTGCTTTGACCATACACATCGTGGTGCTGTAGAGTTTCTTTGATTTATCTTCCCATCTTGTTCTTGGTCTATCTCTTGCTCTACATCCCCCTCTTTTGGTATATGCCTAGTAAATGTTTTACTATTTTTATTTGTAAATGTTTTACAAATTTATATTTGACCTGTGTAAAATTGTTGTGTTTTTAAAGGCAATTCCCTTGGCAGTTATGACCCTTTTTGTTGTAGCATTCAATGAGCAACAAGGTTCAGATAATGAGACGTGGCCTACAGGAAGAAATCATGGATATATAACGTTACACACACAAAAAGCACACTAGCAAACATTGGTACAGCGTAGTTAAGAAAACACATCTGGTTTTGGAACACAAGCTAAGGCTCCCTACAACTCTCTGCATAACATCAAGTTCGGCATCACCCACCTGGGATAGACAGTAGATAATAGCCTTGAGCAGACAGGTAGTGAGGAAGAGAATTGATTATTCAGCCTCATTATGCCATTGACCTCGAACATGTGAAGTGAGGAAAAGAATTGATTATTCAGCTTGATATGCCATTGACCTTGAACATGTGAAATGAGGAAGAGAATTGATTATTTAGCCTCATTATGCCATTAACCTCGAACATGTGAAGTCCTAATTCTGGACACCCTAATGGCAGTATGTGCCATGGTAATACCTTTACATGGATTTGCAGCATGGCAGTGACTATCCTAGCTGTAGGAGACACTAATGGGATAACCTGAGAGAAATTATCACAAAGATAAATATTCAAAACAAGGCTGTCTATTCCTGTTGTGAATTTAAAAATGCATACAAATAATACATTGCACAATTTATCACCTGGTATATTTCTCATCAGTTGGATTATTACAACATGTGAATCCTTGAGTGTATAAATTTTTTACCAATTGGTGGTCTGTTTGAGGCATAACTTTCAATACTGTGAGTTGCAATACATTAGTGTAAGCTGCAGTGTGAAAATGATGTGTTGCACAAGTGTAAAACGTTTGCTAATAAACTTTATTACTTATTTCATACTAGAGACACCATTGCATTTATAGATAATATGTTTAAAGTGAACAAAAGAAGAATTACTTCTTCTTTTCCTCTAGTCCTGTTTCTACCTTTCAGCCTCAGGTTTTAAGAGGCATCAGGTGTGAGCCCTAATATGTGCCACGTAGATGCTGGTACTTATGGCCTCCAGTATTTTGTCTATTCATCGTTTACATGGTGTGGATCTGCTTCCATTATGTCTAAATAACAGGGCTCTCTGTGGTTCACTGTCCGGTGGCAGTCTTGACATGTCTAAACTACTAGATCTGTTGTCTCTTGATGTAGCTTAGTCCTGGTTCCGTCCCAGTTTCTTTCCTGATATAGTCATTTTTGATCCTGTCTCTTGTTACATGTAGGATTCGCTGTAGACAGTTCATTTCTGTTGTTTCGACTAAATTACTGTATCACCAAATTATTTGTGTTTCACCTACATATAAAGCTTTGAAAGCTATGATTTGACTGCTTGTGATTAAATATCAGAATATTTACCTTTTATTTTAAATTCTGATATTTATAACTTGTAGTAAGTTTTTCAGCATGACTGTTAAATAGTTGAGGGTTTGTGGCAGACCTTGGAAAATAAGAGGAGTCCACAGGTCTTAGCTGGAAGCCGCCATGGTGTAGTGGCTAGACGTTCACCTGCGGATCCAAAGGTTTTGGGTTCAGGCTCTGACAGAGCAGGACTTTTTAGAAAAAATGATGTTGGCTCTCAGATCTACCTAGGGTACCAGATACAGTTTAAGGAAGTAAAGGCATGATGCTGACTGCATCACGCACCAAATGCTGATTGGTCTATAAAATATAGGTCTAGCCCAATATACCCGAAACCTACAGGTCTTAGTTAATTGGGAATCTCTGATTTATACAGTCACAGCAGAAGGTTTAACACTCAAGGATCATTATTTCTTGCTTTAAAACTTTTCTTCAGACCAGAAACAAGTAAGCCAATGCCAGAGAAGCAGAGTGGACTGTCCAGTGTCAGGGCTATGGACTCTGAGACTTTCCACTTTGTCAGCTATGTACCAATTCGAGGACGATTGTTTGAGTTGGATGGTTTGAAACCACATCCCATTGACCATGGTGAGTTTACTCCATAATTGACACTACTGTATCCCTATGTGGGTTGTGATGCTCCATTTTAGGAGAGGGAAAAGAATGGCCCTATTACCCCTTAAGTTGTTTAGTTGCCTGTCCTTTACAGGATATTGCAAACCACAATATTTTTTGGCTAATGCGGTTTTTCTAGGCAGATTTACATTCATTAGTTTGCCATTGACGACTGAATGATCGGCTCCCCCCCCCCCTTTTTTTTTTTCGTTCTTTTACCTACACTGTAATATAACAAATCATGATTAAAAATAGGGCAATAGATTCCGCAGCAAGAGAAACAAACAGTATGGAGATATATTTTGATCAGAATGTGTTCTTAGTCTATAATTAAATGCCTGTGTTATATCGTATTAATTAGATTTTTAAGTGTAGATGTGAAAACAAAAAGAATGTCCTTCACTTTTTATTTTGTAAATAGTTTTTAAAATATTTCATTATTTTATTTATAATGAATTATTAAAAATACAAATGCACTCAATTTTAAAACCGCTTGAAGTTTCCTACGAAACCTCTTTGTGCCCCGCACCCCTAACACCCCTAGATGACTGAGCAAATGTGAAAAGCGAAAAACTTGACATCATCAGAATCAATCGCAGTGCAATGGTAAACTAATGGCTGTCGTCTTCTGGAGTAGTTCTTGCACTCAAAACATTATGGTGTTGTCAGTAGAAAGGTATTTGACAGTATAAGGAGATGTGTACAGTCGTGTACTGGAGCCTGTGACGGACATTTCCAACACCTGTTATAATGAATATTTCATTGGCATTTTCCAGCTTTCCCCAACGTTAGGCCACAGAATTGACTATTGTAGCTAATTTAAGGACATTTTTAGCACTTTTTTTAATGGTGTCGTGTACTTTGGTTTTTTAGAATTGTTCTGCATAAAAAATGTAATGAGTAAGGTAAAGTAGTGAGTCTCTATGATGCAGAAGTTCAAGCCATCAAGATAGCGGTAGAGAAACTACTAAATACAGGGTATTTTTCACAACCAGTGGTATTCCTGACAGATGCAAAAGCAGTACTTCAGTCACTCCAGTCTGGAAAATTACCAAGCATACGGACACTATTATCCAAACTAGGCAACCGCTGTAAATTAGTAATGCAGTGGATACCTTCCCACTGTGGAGTTCCCGGAAACGAAAAAGCTGATAAACTAGCTAAGGAAGGTGCAACTGAAGAACAACCTGACATACCAGTCTCTTATCAACAGAAGAAGAGAATTATCAAATCAATCAGAATGCCACCGAAACTGGCACAAGATGATTACCATATTATGGACAGACCAGACCAAGTCATTATCCTTCGCCTTAGAACAGGGCACAATCGACTTCGCTCCCACATGTACAACAAATTTAAGATTGGCCAATCAGCCATGTGTACTTGTGGACTGGCACCTGAAACAACAGATCACATCCTTCAAGACTGTCCCAGATTCAACGCTTTCAGGCAAAACCTTTGGCCAAAAGAGACACTTGTGGAAGTCAAACTTTACGGGCCGCTTAGTGAATTACAAAAGACAGTGAAATTCATACTAGAGACAGCTTTGCAGATATAGACAATTTATTTCATGCGAACGAAAGAAGAAGAAGAAGTAGTGAGTCTTTACGGATACCCTATATAATTGTCTGAAGTTGACTCTGCCTAAAATAGGCACCCGGAAAAGTCTTTGAAAGAAAAGTTGACCTGAGGTAATGTTTGTATGACCCACAGAGTATTGATTGTTCTATAAAACAGATGCATCAATGACATTTTTAAAAAAATATTTAAAAAAAAAACAAGTCTTATGTGTCCAGTTCACGTTTCCCGGCCCATGTACACACTGGCTGACCTTTCATTCATACTTTCTCAGACTCTTCTACACCTAAGGAGTGTCACGTTGTCTTGCCTCCAATTACATCATTGCGTTTTCTGTACTACACAACGACAAAGCTTTTAACAACCCCAGAACGTCTAGAACTAGCCCTAACTCAAACCCCCCTACCCACAGCCTGAGTCTAGGTCAAACGAGAGACTCTTTTCGAAGAAACCAGTACAACATGACACTTCCCTCTGACCTAGATCAGACTCAGAAAGTTTGTAGATGGGCCTGAAAACATGAACAGGTTCGTATTATGGTATTTGTTTGTTCAGTTTTCTTATTCTTAATCTGCTTTCAGGCCCTTGGGAAAAGGGAGAAGACTGGACAGAGAAATTTCGCAAAGTCATCTCGGACCGGCTTGGATCTGGAGGGTACGCTTGTCTTGTGTGTCCACTATTGAAACAGCAGTAGAATTTTCTTCTTTTTAGCTTTTACGGGCTGTAAACTCCTCTGGAAGTTCTAGTTGTTCATCCCCTTCTGGTCTTTGGTCTTGTTCCAAAACTTAAGTTTGTTTACGCATCCATATACAGATCTGGCTTTTTTGTATGCAGACTGTTGGTTCCTAGCCCCTCAGGCAGATGCTCTGACTTGAAAGGAAACACCCCTAATTAGTCGTCTTTTGCAGCATGCTTGTTAGGGGGTCAGGGGGTCAATTCTCCCCCCCCCCCCCTCCCACAACCTCCCATCCCCCAATTGATGCTGCAGACTAAACCACAGAATCTGTGTTGGTAACAAGGGCACTCACTCTAGGCATTTAGTTGGGAGTCTGTTAACAAGAAAATTGACCTCTGTTACTGGAACTCTGCTGGCTGCTGAAGATGGAGACTAAGCACTTTTGTGAACATCCCAAGTATTGTTATGTAAGTTATTTACTCAGTTTAACTCATCTGTAGAAGTTTTATTAATTTACCTCTCTCCTTTCAGCGAGCTATATCATGATATTCAACTCAGTTAAAAATGTTTCATGAATTTAACTTCTTTATTTCAGCGAGCCATATCACGATATTCGGTTTAACCTCATGGCGGTAGTCCCTGACAGACGCCAGCTTCTGGAACAAAAACTGGCCACCCTTCGGATCAATTTCAAAATTGTGACTGAAGCCTTACAGCAGGTTTGGATAGATTATTTAACGCCTGTTGCATGGGGGTGTATGTTTTCTTTTAAATGTGTGTATGTTTGTGACCTGTATGTCTCTTTGGGATTCTCATTCACTCACATTGTTGTTCATAGTCCACTAGATCTAATATTTCAGTAATTTTTTTCAGACTATGAGATCATCTTAGGTTTTGTTTATATTTATACTTTCATTCATTTACAATCACTATGTTAGCTTTCATAGCGTACACCTAATAACTACATGATCCTTGAGCACTGGGGTTCAATTTCCACAGTCGACTTCTTCTTTTTTAAACTGTTTTTGTGGTTTTTGGTCAGTAGTACGAGAGTTGCACTGTGGAAGAGACCGGGTCCTTACCACATAATATTCCCATAGACACCACTTTGTGCACTATAGTTGACCTTCACTGTAGAGATGACACAGACATTAAAAAAAAATCTTTTACACTTAGGAGTCAGATCTGTGATTATTTTTTGTTTCATTTAAAATACTGCTTATCGTTACCTTTGAGTAGGGGTTGGCCGAATGGATAAAAGCACAGGGCTCTAATGCATAGAGACCAGGGTTCGATTCCTTGGTACAGTTGGGGATTTTTTTCTGCCGGGGCAACAATAAAATCCTAACCTGCACAGTCCATGGCGACTGCACTAGCCATTGAGTCCTAAAGCCTCAGCCTTAGAACTCCCTGCCCACACTGCAAAAGTAAATACAGGCAGTATTGTGGGGAGGGAGGGAGGGGGTGTGCTGTGGTGGCACATGACTAGCCCACTTACCTACCAGCCAGGTGGTCATACTTTCAGTCCCACTAGTGGCAGAAATATTTATGTCGTTGTTTTGGGCTCTCAGTTTGACCTGGTCTACAAATGGGTACCAAAATATGTCCTGGTAAGAAAGAAACTGACCAGATTTTCTGTTCAGATATGATTGGTCTAAAATAATAAGTGGAAATATTTCTTTCATTTATTTGGGCTCTCGGCTTAACTTAGCCTAAAAATAGGCACCAGGATATTTCTTGGAAAGTAGAGATGGGCAACAGGATTTGATCAAATCTATCTATTGTCTTCTTCACTTTTACCGGGTTGCAGCCCAGTGTCGTGGTTTAAAATATTTGTTTTCTTCCTCTCGCGTGATTTGAGTGACAGTTTTCTGGATCTTCTGGCCGTATTCAGCTACTCCATCTATCCATTTTTTCCTGGGTCTTCCTCTGGCCTTTCTTCCCGATGTTCTATTGTAAAAGGCCTTATAGGCAATCTGATCCGGTTGCATTCTTACTAAATGACCAAACCACTTCATTCTCTGTCTTTCAATATGTTCCATGCATGCTCTTGTTCCAACTTTGTCTCTAGTGCTGACGTTTGTGACTCTGTCTCTTCGTGTATTGTTAGTGACTCTTCGGAGACATCGCATTTCACACGTAGTTATTTTTTTGCATATGTGATTTGTTCATTGTCCACGTTTGGCACTGATAACATTACCTAGGGATGAAAATGCTGTTGATCAAATAACCCATTTAAAATTGATTGGTCTAAGATAGCACCATTTACCCAGCATGCCTCATGGCATGGAAAAAAGGGGAGGTTTACTCTGTTTTACTTTAAAGGTTATTTTTTTCACAACATGTACGTTGCTCCTACTGTTAGAATTCTGAATGAATGATTTTTGATTGCCTTTTTGTGTACTCTCCGCCTGAGACTGTAACCTGATGGTTTGACATTCACTGACTCAGGAGCCACTGTTGACCTGATGATGCAACAGAAACAAATCCCTGTGTAACTAACTGTATCAAACAGTTATATTAGGAGACTCTGTGGTTACACAGAGTAACTTGTTGTCCTGGGTGGGTAGGGCATTGTGTTCTTTTGAATTAATACAATTTAAAAAAAAAAAGATTTAGAAATCTTCTTGTTAATTTCTTTTCTTTTTTTAAAAAACTACTTTTGGCACGAGGGAGATGTAGGGTCCTGCTTCTTGCTCTCCTCCCTGCCTCTACCATAGACACAATTTGCTGTGGTAGAATTTCTCTAATGCTGTCTTTCCATGTTTTTGTTGGTCTACCTCGTGGTCTTCATCTATCTCCTCTTTTGGTGTATGGTATCACAAGGCATTCTCTCTCTAAGCGGGCAAACCATTTGATTTGCTGTTTTTGTATTTAATTTAGAACTGGTTCTGTGCAGACTTTTTCTCTTGTGATTTCATTCCTGATTTAATTTCTTCGGGTCACTCTTGGCAGCCCTTCTCAAAAATCTCATTTCCATGGCTTGGAACAGATTTGGAAGTAAGTAAGTAAAAGCCAAGAACCTTTTTTCACGCCAGCGGTGAATTGGACATTTGCTGCTGCACTCACATCTTTATAGACCAATCAGCCCCTAGGTAGGTGATGTCAGCATTATGCTAGCCACCTTTACTTCCCTAAATATTTACTTGTACTCATTTTGTCATAAGCTGACCTGGATAGACCGGGAAGTCCCGGCTAATTTGATTGTGTTTGGATAAGTTGTCGAGTAATGGTGCACTAGTCTCCTCCCTATTGCTAGTCTGCTGGGCACCTCATGGGTAAAGGGGGAACCACCCTATTGTTCTGCCTTCCCCTCTCAGGAACATTCTTTTACAATATAGGTAAGCTGAGAAAGGACACCATCTGCAGATCCTCCGTAGATTTCTAATAGCAGATTATTCTTTTAACATGATGGCGAAAAGTGCCAGGCCTGCATCCCATTGTGGATTCTATTGTTTTTATAACTATATGTTTAAAAAAATAAGGAGTTGCCATGGCATTGACGGCTAGATGCCCGCCTGCGGATCAGAAGGTCCTGGGTTTGTGTCCTGACGGAGCCAGATTTTTTGGGGGGGCTTTGACTCCCAGCTCGATCCAGCCTTGAGTGGGTACCAGGTGCAGTCCTGGGAAGTAAAGGCGGCCGGCGTGATGCTGACCACATCACCCACCAAGTGCTGATTGGTCTATACAAATATAGGTCTAGCCCTATATTCCCAATACACCTAGAGGTGTGGAAAAGGGACCTTTACTTTTTATACACACAAAAAAAAAGCCATTTGAGGACATTAAACATCTCTGTCTAGGTTAGTCAATTATTTCTTTTTCTTTGTCTTCTTTTCTTTGTTCACCATTAAAAGAGTAGTTGGAACCACCCTGTGTTAAGGTTGACATCAGTGCTGCAGTATCTTCACCTTCCAACTCAGCATTTCCAGTTTCAGCCACACAGACATACATACAGACACACGCATGCGCACGCACACACACACACACACACACACACACACAAGCCTAATTGCTTGTCGGGGGGCCAACTGATCTATCCCCGACCACCCACCCCCTTACCTCCAATTGGGCTTCGTAACCCACATGGAAAAGCTAGTTAAATTGAAGCATAACCTTTTGGAATAAAGCCAAAAATAAAAAGGTCCCTTGAACACCCATTGCGTGTTAAAGATCCTTCAACAGTGGGCTAATTTACTGCGTTCCTGCAAAACTAATCTGAGATTTTATTAAAACTTCTTGAAACTTCATTTGTGGTCAGTAGAAGCCCTGTAGGAGTCACCGTGGCTGAGCGGCTAGATGCTCGCCACGGATCGGAAGGTCATGGCTTGGCTCCCAGGTCCACCCAGCCTTGAGTGGGTACCGGGTGCAGTCCCAGGAAGTAAAGGGGGCCGGCGTGATGCTGACCACATCACCCACCAAGTGCTGATTGGTCTATAAAATATAGGTCTAGCCCTATATTCCCTGTAGGCCTAAAGGCGTAGAAAAGGATCCTTTAAAAAAAAAAGGAGCCCTGGAGGTCAAGTATGAGTAATGTTACCAGTGCTGACCATGTCCCCTCATCCTCATCCCTTTTTCACATTTTCTCTCAATTGGAACCTTTTTCTAGCTGCTGGACGCTAAGGTAAATCATTTCCATGTTTCAAGCCAAGACAGATAAATAGCTCTTCACACAGACTGTGTCTTGCCAAGATTGTTAAAACGTTTACCACAGTTGTTTAATTTATTTTGTTTTCCCTTTTGTATTTTATGCAGTGTGTATTGTAGTGTTCCCTGTTAGTTTTCTTCTAACTTCTGTTTTGTTCACTGCAAGTGCACTTTATTATTTGCATCAGATACTTAATGGTGTTTACATTGTCGCAGAACCAGAAGACAGTTAAATATTTGAAAATAATTGTTATGATGAGAAGGCAGGTTTGTTTTAAAGTTTTCTGTGTGGCTTAATTTTAAAACAATAAAATGTGACATTCAAGCTTTGGAAAAGAACTTTTATAGTCTTATAAAAAATAAACTTCTAGAGGCAGACATCTTTACGCCACAAACAGTTTCGGCCTAAGAAAAAGGCAAACACCTGTACACTACACTACTAGCAAAATCATAGAGAGACAAAACCTTTAATTCTTGTTATTAGCAACCTTAAATAAAGGCCAAAACCTGTATATTTGCTACCACCCATACTCGGAAGGTAATAGGTTCAATTCACGAGTTCCTCCTGTGGGTTCCGGAGCCCTATTGTGGGGAACACAAGGCTAGACCCACTGCCTCCCCAACACGCATTTCGTAGGTGTCGACTAATTGGGGGCATCCTTCGAAGTTGGGGTACATCAGCCTGAGAGGCAAGGAACCAAGAGTCTGCATGCTAATAAGTAAGATCTGCAAAAATGGATGTGCATGCAAATCTCAATTCTGGAACATGACTGAAGTCCAGAAGTGGACGAACATCCAGAACTTTTCACAGAGGTTTACAGTCAGTAAACGCAAAGAAGACAATTCAAGAATGCAGTTTTTATAGACATCCATGGGGATTATCACTGGAGCTATGGAGATCTTTCTGTATACAATGTTTTCAGCAAGCAGCGGAAAGGGATTGAGGTATATGGGATAAAACTTACCCTCTCACCTTTTAACATTTGCAATTTTTAGTCCAGAAAGGTAAGTTAACTCTACAAATGCCCCAGACGGTACATTGCTGTTCATTAAAATCAAAAGAGAAGAGTTA